TTTTTTTTTTTTTTTTTTTTTTTTTTTTTTTAATTGAGATTTGAAAGTGTGTACTTTGTGTGTTATTTATTTCTTCTCTTTTCATATTTGTGGATAATATATTTTAAGGTCATGGGGTTTTCTAAAATGGCATTATTTAATTGTATCTTTTAACTACTTTGCACAAATGTTATTTAATTTACCTCAGTTTAGTTTTGTGTGGGTGTGTCTGCTGTCTGTTTGTGGGTTAAAATCTGTTACAAATTGATTGCTATGCATGGTTTTCTACCATATCTGTCAATATATAGCTAATAATCATTAAAAAGACATTTGACAGAAAGTGTGCACCAAAGTGTCTTCGTCCATCCATTATCTTTTACCCACTTCTTCCTTTTCGGGTCACTGGTGCCCAGGTCCAGCAGTGTGAGAGGAGGGGGGACACCCTGGACAGGTCTCCAGTCCATCACAGGGACACATAGAGACAAACAACCATTCACTCGTTCACTCACACCTAGGGACAATTTAGAGTTACCAATCAGCCTAACATGTATTTTTTTTGTCTGAGGGAGGAAACTGGAGTACCCGGAGAAAACCCACACAGCACAGAAAGAACATGGAAACTCCACCCAGAAAGGTCCTGGCCCAGGATTTGAACCGACGACCTTCTCGCTGAGAGGCAACAGCTCTACCAACTGAGCCACCGTGCTGTGCCAAGGTTCAGTGAGTGAAAAATATTAGCTGCCTTTTTGCCTGGAACAGCCCCCCCACCCCCCAACAACATACAAAGAAGCTAAAGTCTAATCTGAGGGAGCAAGTGGATCCCAGAAAGGTCCAGCAGCATCTGCTGTTAAAATCACTGCGGTGGATCAACCTGGAGAAAAGATTGATTTTTTTTTTTTTTTAAGGCTCTGCAATGAACAGCACCTCAACATAATGTCTGACTTTACAGTACACAGTACTTTCAGACAAATAAGAACATTTCCTCCACAGTGTTACTCATTCTGCTGAAAAGATCAGTGATCTCACTGCTCACTTTGGATAACTTGGCCTTGCCATGTGCAGCCCTCCAAGTTTTTGAAGATCTGTTTCGGTGTCATTTAAAGCTTCCATTTGATTGAACTGAATTGTTCGTTGGGTTTTCACACACTTTCGCAATACCTTTTCTATAATTAGTAACAAAATAAAACACATCTCAAATAAGTCAACATAAGTTTGACCAGAGTCCAATTTTCCTCAGCATCTGATTTCCGGCTTCCGATCAGAATCTTATAAGCTGTCATCCACTGGAGAGGAAGTCTTTTCATCTCAACACAGATGGACTGGCACCACGGGAGCTGATGTCTGCAGGCCGAGCGGGGCATGAAGTATGTCTGAGCCATATGCATACAGGCATATAGATGCAGCCCACGCAGATGCAACCGAATGTGCAAGAGTAGTTATAAAATCAAACAGCAGCGCACAAAACAACGCCTTTCAGGATGCTTGAATATAAAGAAAAACATTTTAGATTGAGGATAGCAGTTTAAAGTGGATGCAATGAAAAGTTACACTTTTTCTGCTCTTGATTTAATTTGTTTGGATGCGCAAAGTCGTTTCCAACTCAAAAACCCTCAACATTTTTAGCTATTTAAGATTCCAAATATCTTTTCCAGTGAGAATCAGATTTGCAGAGAAAAGGTTTGTCTCTGTCAAAAATTAAAGTGAAATAAATAATCTCCTTAAATGGAATTCAAACGATGTTGCATTTATTGTACCTCTAAAGTGGGGATCTGTTCAAAACTACTGTTTAATACAAATTTCTATTAATTTCATATGATCACCAGAAGCTAAACATTTGAATAAACATAATAAAATTATAAGGTAGATAATGCATGAATGGGTGGATGCTTTACATTGTACTGTTGAAGAAATTACAATATTTTAATAGTTATTTTCCCATTGATGGAAATTTTTCAGAACAAAAGTCTCATTTTCTGCTTCAAATTAAACAGACCAATAAAATACCACAAAATGGCCCAAAAGTAGTTAAAAGGTTCAAAGGCCTACAGGATTAAAATAAGCTGATACAAGCACAGATTTTTGTTCTTGTCATTATAAAAAAAATTGAAATGGATCCAGAATGAAGCTCAATGATTGAAAAGTATCTTAGCATGATTTACAAGCCACAAAAAAGGTACCGTATTTTTCGGACTATAAGGCGCACTTAAAATCCTTTCATTTTCTCAAAAATCGACAGTGAGGCTTATATATTAATTTTGGTTGTGCTTACTGACCTCGAACCAATTTTATGTACAAATGAAGATATTTTGAATAAGTTGAATAAAGTTTGACTTATCTGATTGTTTTGTTTCACTTAATGCACCTTATGTATGAAAACAGACCTGCTCGTTGATATTGCGCCTTATAGTCCGAAAAATACGATACATCACTATTGCATTTTTTGGGGGGAATTTTCTTTAAAAATAAATATCAGCATATTTCAAAGAGCCTGAAATTAAGTAAAATTTAAATAAAAGTTGGGTACAAGGTGGTTTGAATAAATAACTGAACAACAAAAAAGGACTGACTTTAAAAATGTTAGTAACAATCATAGCTAGTTTGATATTGAAGTTAATTTGTTTTATTTATTTATGTTATAGGCAGCACGGTGGCGCAACTGGTAGAGCTGCTGCCTCTCAGCGAGCAGGTCCCTGGTTCAAACCCCGGTCCAGGGGCCTTTCTGGGTGGAGTTTGCATGTTCTCTCCGTGCATGCGTGGGTTTTCTCCGGGTACTCCGGTTTCCTCCCACAAACCAAAAACATGCATGTTAGGCTGATTGGTAACTCTAAATTGTCCCTAGGTGTGAGTGAGAGAGTGAATGGTTGTTTGTCTCGTTTGTCTCTATGTGGCCCTGTGATGGACCTGCGACCCGTCCAGGGTGTACCCCGCCCCTCGCACAGTGATTGCTGGACATGGGCACCAGCGACCCCCGTGACCCAAAATGGAAGAAGCGGGTTAAGATAATGGATGGATGGATATTTATGTTATTGTGCCTGATACACCCATCTGCACCTTCATTGCTCTAGAGACGTGATGATCGCAAACAATCCAAAACTTCTGAGCAGCTTTTTACAACGAACAAAGTGAAATGAGTCGCAGAGTTTTCCTTTTTCCCTCCTTGTGATTTCTTTGTGTTTCTCTCCTTGAATGCAGAGACACGTGGTACGGCCCTTACGTCCTACATCACTATGTATTACTTGTGTCATGATGTCACAACTGTTGACCAGCTCTTTGAAACAAACAGATCTTCAAGATCCGCTTCCCTTCAAGCAGCCATATATCCCATCTGTAGCCTTGCAGTGAATGTGAGTAGGTGGATGAGCTCCGACAGCAGGCGAGGCATGTCTGGGCAGGTTCAAGTAAGGTCAGAAACTGTTGTCATGCTCTAATGGTTGTGTGTTATTTCCCCGTTGTCTCCTTCAACACTAACTTGACCTGATATATCAAAACAGAATTTTGTTTTTACATCGGCGTCTCCACAAATGGCAAAACTGTGATGTCATTACTTGTAATGTAATATGACTGACAATTTATCAACAGATAATTTTCTCCAACAAAAACTGTGTTTTACCATTGGACATTACAAATAAAGTTAGCAGACACATGAAAGGCTTGAAGAGTAAGTTCAGAAGTGCCGAGGTGGAGTTAAGAACAAAAATATTTCACCCGTTAGCTTTTTATTTTTATTTTAAGGCCAAACAGGATTCATTACAACTTAAAACCACTTCAATCTAAAACATTTCAAATGAGTTAACTATGTTGTAAAACTTTACAATCAACACGTTACACCATCCATTTTGTATTAAATGTAAAAGCTGTGGCGCTTGTGGCAGGAATTCAATAATGTATTTTTGCTGGATTTACTGAGTAATGTAAAATAGACATTGGTGTAAATGTTTAAAAATAATAGATGAATTAACTGCTTTAAAAAAATAGAGATTTATTTCATGACAGAAAGCTGTTGAGAGTTATTTCAAGATAGCAGCAATGTGTTTTGGGTCTCGGCTCTTCCCAGACGAGCTATTAGCTCATTAATTTGTTCAAAATTAAACTCTATTTGCCCACGGTAAGTTTGTACAAAGATCTATCTAAACCATGTAAGATATTTGTTGTTCATAAAATTTACACAGAACACTATTTCAGAATATTTGAACTATCTCTTTAAATGTATTTGTCCAAAACATTTTTCTTGCTGGCACATAAATAATCCAAACATACAAATTAAAGATTGTTTTGTTTTCAAATTTGAGTGTAAAGGGCAGCACGATGGCTCATTTGGTTGAGCTGTTGCTTCACAGTGAGAAGAGCACCGGTTCAAATTCCAACCTGGGAACTTTCTGGGTGGAGTTTGCGTGTTCTCTCCGTGCATGCATGTGTTTTCTCGGGTACTCCAGTTTCCTCCCACATACCAAAATCATGCATGTTAGGCTGACTGGTCACTCTAAATTGTCCCTAGGTGTGAGTGACAGAGTCTCATTTGTCTCTATGTGTCCCTGCGATGGACTGGAGACCTGTCCAGGGTGGCCCCCTCCTCTCGCACAGTGACTGCTGGACATAGGCACCAGTGACCCCCCACAACCCAAAAAGGAAGAAGTGGGTAAAGATAATAGAAGGATGGATTTGAGTGTGCTGGAGGTTTGTCATGTGGACAGATGAAGAAGATACTCACTCTTGTACAGCGCGGGCTATAGACAGCGCAGTGGAGCCGGTCTCATTAACACTGTCCAGCGTCACGTTTGGCAGGTCATCGTCATCACTATCACTTTTAATCTGCCTCGGTGACAGGCCGCTGGGGTCCATGAATGCTGTGAGGACGGGACATGGACACAGGTATCAGACACTCGACACTGGAGCTGTAAACTTATAAGGCATATCACATTAAATGTGCTTGAAGGCATCTGCAATTCTAATAAAGCAGTTTCAGTATCATCTAACCACCATTTAAAACGAGCCCTTTGTTGACTAGATGTGTAATACTGTATTTTCCGCTGTACACGTCGCACCACCCTATAAGTTGCATCAGTCCATATTTGTCTAATCAAGTGGAAAAATCCATAAATATGCTGCTTTGCTGTATACGTCCCATCTATTATGCGTCACCGCTGACAACCCGGAAATGTGGGCCGGTGTTGTGCCAAAAATCAATTAGCTGCCAAATGGCAGCCGCGGGAGCATGCATGGGAGGACTTTATCAAGAATTTAACAAGATTAACACTTAAAAACAATTATTTGATTGCTCGAAATTATAATAAAGGTGTGTCTCAGTTGAACTTTACCTTAATAAATGCACTTTGACGGTCAAATCAACTGCATTTCAAAACCCGATCAACGGAAGCGGGCACATGCAGAGGGACAAGTCGCCGTGCATTTCTTCGAAATTTAACAAGACCTAAAACAATTATTTGTTTGTTCGACATTACAATAAAGGTGTGTCTCAGTTGAACTTTTACTTAAGAAATGCACTTCAGTGGTCAAATTAGCTGCATTTCACCAGGGTGGCGCAGCGAAATGAAGCTGATTTGACGGTTGCTCCAAGCAAGCAGAACAAAGGTGCCAGGCTTAGGAAAGCCGATTGTGTCATTAATAGTCACTTTTACCTACTACATGACACAACAGCATGGCACACAACTCAAGTGCCATCTAGCGGCTGAAAATGGTAATGCTCATTTTTTTTTCAGTCAGAATGAATGACAAGTCATATCTCTGCCAAAAATTGGTTTAGAAATATGGGGAAAATCCATAAATATGTTGCTTCAGTGTATAAATCACAAGGCATGCAAATTATGCCAAAAAAAATGCAACTTATAGGGTGAAAAATATGGTAATTTAACACGTATTTCATGTTTATTTTAGTTGTATGTGTCTGAATGTCCTGAGCGCTGTATTTTCAGTCAGGCACTGTCAGACAGACCCAGTGCTCGGCTTGAGAACGGAGCGGTGAACCATGACACTGAAGCCAGTGGCTGAAAACTCATAGAGTCAAAGGATAGCTGGGGAAATGACACTCGCTCACATAATCTATACTAGCCTCCAGCCACAGAGATAAGAAGCAGGGTGGAGCACAGTTTGACTGTTGCTGCAGTTGTGAAGAGCATTTGTTATTGTGTGCATGTGTGAGGGGAGGGGGTGGTGCTGAACGACTTGAATAATTAGCACTCAGCTGAGCACCTGTTCTCCTAGGTGTGCGACTGACAAGCATGCAGGCAATTCAGCTATCAAATGTTGAACTGTTTTGCAGAACATCAGCATAATTAGCTAGTACAATTTGTCCTTTACCCGACACTTCTCTTTCGCAAAGTGGAAAATGGAACCAAAAAAACATGGAGCTTGCTACTGAACCATGATCCTTTGAAGAGTTTTTTTTTTCTTATTGAGCAACATAAAAAAGTGACATCATCCCACAAGTTGTGACAACTTGTGTGTTGGACAACACAATAGGCACAGCGCTAAAACCCACAGCTATTCTGTCCTTGCTGTCTCCATGGACACAGGCAGAGAACATCCGGGAAAACTCAAGAAATAATTGATTAAAATAAATAAATAAATAAATAAATAAATATGGACCTGCTAGAGAGTACTTGTGAAGGAAAAGGTGCTAAAATGTACAGCATAATTGCCACATGGGCAATTTAGTATTCAAAGAAAACGACATAGCTAAAATGATACTTATTTCTTAAGAATATACGACGATAGGCAGTTCTCTCCACAGAGGTCTGCAACTTCCCTGGCTACTGTAAGCGCAGTGCTTTTATAAGCTATCAGGACTTCACCTCCTCTGCCCTCTCAGCTGAGACTGTGGTCATAATGGTCCATAATAATGGTCTTGAGTTTGGAGCAGACACGGTGTTATTACCAGAGGGGGGAGAGAGCACAGAAATAATGTTCTAACTCGGCTGGACTTTTGCTTTTAAAGGTTTCCAGTGTTGTCATAGATGAAGACATGCAGAGTGGTCAGTGCCCCCCCTTTGAAAACCCATAATTAGTTAGAAATGCATCGTCGGGGGGAAAAAAGGGGAGGGGGTTTGAAGGACGGACACAAAGGAGGAGTGTTGGAGAGGTGGGCAGAGCACCGGATTTCTTTCTTTCTTTCTCTCCTGTTGTTTCCAGTCAAGCCCTGTTTCCATGGCAACCTTCTGCTGGAGACAGGGAGACAGCACTGAAAGAAAAGGGTACCCACCCTCACTTAAAGAGGGTGGCTAACCTGTGTGTCTGCGAGCAGATGTGTGTGCGCGTCTCTTCGAAGAGAAGTTAGGAGGACATTAAAGTTCTCACAAAGAGGACGACATTTGGTTTGTGAACCACCGGATGTCAACAACTCAATCTTTAATAACCAATATTGACAATTTAACATTTCCATTTCATAGGGCCAACTCGGGACCTGAAAGTCCCAGGCTTGATCCCCTGTCATTCCAACATGTCGTGGTGTCTCTGAGCAAGACACCCAATCCCTAATTGCTCCCCGGGTGCTTACATAACTGCCCACTGCTCCACCTGAGTGTATCCCAGGTGGAATGGGTTAAATGCAGAGAACCAATTTTCCATTGGAATCATACAATGATGACAATACATAGCACTTATCTGTAAATATATTCATCTTAAAGTACCTAAAATTAACTGTCTCAGCATAAAGTTATGTATGTAAGCACAACACTCAACCCCTTCAGTGCTTTTAGAGCCGAGTCGAGCTCATGTTGAAGCAAACATTTGTGCATGTATGTGTTTGTTTAGTTGCCACCCATCTTCAGTATCCATCAACATCCACGCCCTGCTGTGCAAGTTTTGTTTTTCCTTATCCTTCCTTCTTTCGCTCTCTCTTCTCCTTAGGAGTATTTAAAACGCCCATCTCTGAGGACCACCCCACCCAGCTCAGCCAAGTGTACGTCTAGGCGCATGTTCTAATTACATGGCTTTGTTGTTTGCCTTTACAATCAGAACATACTGTACATGTGTGGGAGAGAAAGACTACATGTGTCTAATCATGCTGGAGGGAGTGACAGGGAAGGACCTCATTTACAACCACTCTGTGTGCGCTTTAGACGTGGGACAGAAACACCTAGGCATGTTCTTTCTCAGTGGTTGGCAATAAAGCCACACCTAAATAGAAAACCAATAAAATGCTGGAGGCAGCAAAAGCCTAGTGTTCAAACTGCCCAATATGTTGACTTCTTGACAGAAGTTAAAGATAGGAAAATCATTCAACCCGCAGTCTATCTTTACTGTGAACAGGCAACATTTTTGCAAACAAGAGTCGTAGTAGAGGTGCAGCATCCTCCACAACTCTGTGTTGGCAAGTCAGAACATCTGAGCAAACAATAAATCCTTGGACACTGCTTGTGTTTAGGGTGTCCAGTGAAATATTACAGATGTTGCAGCCTTTCCTTCATTGCTACATGCCTCTTTGTTTCGTCCTTTTTACTGATCAGTCTAAAAATCCATTCATTTTTTTCCTTTGTTTGTTTTTATGGTCCTTTTTATAAGAGCTGTTTAACATTTTATACATTTTATACATTTTATCCAGATAATTCATTAGAATTTGATAATATTTATGTTGTTGTTTAAACCAGTGGTCCCCAACCAAGGTCCTTGAGGAACACCATCCTGCATGTTATAGTTGTTTCCCTGCTTTGACACACCTGAGTTGAATGAGTGGGTGATTAACCAGTTTCTGCAGAACTTGAAGAAGTATTAAATCACTGAATCGGTTTGAGCAGGGAAACTACTAAAGCATGCAGGATGGTGTTCCTCAAGGACCAAGGTTGGGAACCACTGGTTTAAACAACACAAGGAAGAAAAATGGTAAACACAAGAGTGTATATTTGTCTGGAGGCAAATCAGTAACGTGTTTTTTTTTTTTTGGTAAATAAGTATAATCACGGGGCAGTAGCAGAAAAACAGATACATTATTAAAAAAAAAATTAAAATATGTGTATATATATATATATATATATATATATATATATATATATATATATATTTTTTTTTTTTGTAAAAAGAAATTAAACTGCGGTTTTACTAATAAAAACAATTAAAAAATAGAAGCAGAAAGTCCTTCTCATGAATATGTACACTCTGCGAACATGGGCTCACCTTTGCCCTGGCTTTTGGCCTCTTCCAGCAGAGGTAGCATGATAGCGTTGTTAAGGCTGGAGGGCGATCGCATCGCGGTGGTGTACATGAGGGGCAGAGACTGCACCACAACTGGGATGCGGTGAACATGGCTGGCCAGCTTCCCTGCTCCCTGCAGGCTCAGGGGGCTGGACGGAGAAGGCGGCACAGACTGCAGGATGTGCAAATATGGCTGACCTCTCACCCCACTTCCAGGGGCGACCAGAGGGCCTGGTGTGAGCACCGACGAGGCTGAGGTGATAACCGATGGAGAGGATGAGGACGAAGACGATGACGACAGTGAAGATGGGGAGAAGGCAGATCTGTGTGGAGACGATGACGAGGAGGTTGATGAGGTTTTGGTGGTGATGGATGAAGAGGAGGGGCGGGGTTTGTTGATTGACAGGTCGACAGGCTCAGTCTGCGTGTGGAAGTGGATGTCATGAGCGAGCAGGTCTTCTGGGGGTTCAGGTTTCACTCTGCTGAGGAAGAAGGGGATGCCATCCATCGCAGAATAAGGGCGAACTTTAGGCGACTGTGAAAGTGAAAGAAAAGCATCAGAGTGAGAGTTTTGTTGTTTCAAAGCTAAACACATTACCCTGTGACATTTTAAAGAGAGAAAAAGCAAACAAGTAGACATAAATACATAAAAGCTGCTGAAATTTCATCTCCCACGAGGCCAAAAAGTGAAACATTGAGGAATTAAGGTCAGCCATAATTATTCTTGTAGGTATTTACTTTCAGAAATAATTATGCAGCAGAATAGTGATGTCAGAAGGTAGATGCAGTGACATTTATACATAAATGGAACAGATATTTCCTTACATTCATTCAAACATTAATTTCCTCCGATTATGCCACATAAAATGCAGGAGTAAAGTCTGGGTCTCTCACCAACGCCTCCTCTGCTCTCTTTTATTTTCTGTTGGCGTGGGCTGCTCTCTCTCCCTTTTTCCTCCTGTTTTCCATGACTCCCACACAAACGCAGCTCTCTTGGCTACCCATGTATCTCTCCTAAATCTCTTTTTGTGACTGTGGAAAAACATCATATGGGCTCAATTTCCTGACCGTCTCCCTCTGTCTCTCAGCGATGGGACTCGTCAGGCTAACTCCGGTGTCTCAGAGTAACCTCAATGCATCTTTTTGCTTAACACCAAGCAGACTGTAACAGGCGCTCCATCTGTCCACAAGATCCAGGGATGTGTTTACTCAGAGAGGCAAAGAGACTATTTGTTTCATTAGACATCCTAACTTTAGTCCCTCTTTGGGACCTGCGATCCTTGCTATGATGTCATTCCTCCCCAAGTTTGCATGTGATGTGGCTGGACGTTGCAGATCTCCACTTGGTTCAGAGAGGGAGGGGGTGCTACAGTGTGCGGTGTTGATCTTCACAGTGGAGCTTTTCAGAGGCTGACTCACAGGCAGAGCCATCAGGGACAGAGAACCAGGAATTTTACCAATCAAACAAAGAAAGCTTTTAAAGAAGTTAAAAGGGGATTTTATTTTATTTTTTTCAAAAGCTGCTGCAACAGTGATAAAAATAAAAAACATGCATATAAATTTCCAGGCTCATATTTCTTTCTATTTATGTAACGCTGAGATTTGATCTGTGCTAAAAAATTGCTTTTTTTTTTATTTCCCCTGATTCTATGAGAGCACTTTTTCTGTTGTGGCCTACTACTATTTTTATTCCTGATTTGTTTTCAGCCTACAGGAAATGTTACGACCTCATGAATGTAAAAAAAAAAAAAAAACAGCTCCAACTCCTCCCCAGTTCGAAAACAAACCCTGCCCTGTGAAATGTGCCCTCTGATAGCCTCGAGACCTTTTGTGGAGTTCAGCTAAGGGCCACTGGTGTTAGTTCAAGATTCACCATACATTCTGGTCTGGTTCATATTTAGCACCCACCGTGCACTTTTGTTGCAATTTATTTACCTAATTTAAAGTAACCTCTGCAGCTAACAATAAAAAAACTTTCAGATTATTCATCCCAGTTTGTTTGGAAGATAAAAAAGCACATGATTAACCTCTTCCTGTCACAAGGGAAGTCATAAATGTATTTATTTTTCTAGTGGTGCAGTTTAGTCAGAAGCTTCCATGGAGTTTGTTGACCATTTATGGCTAATAGTTATTAGTTTATAACGGGCAGAGAAGATGTTTCCTCTCAGAGGTCACTCTTGGAAAAACAAAAGAAGATCCCTCCTTAAAAACAATCCTAAATAACTGAATCAACAAATGCTTCTGTAAAAAGAAAGTGAAAGTGTTGAAGATTAATCCATTTCAGGGTTGTGGGGGTCACTGTGCAAGAGGCGGGGGACCCCCTGGACAGGTCTCCAGTCCATCACAGGGACACAAACAATAGAGACAAACAGCCATGCACTCTCTCACTCACACCTAGAGACAATTTAGAGTTACCAATCAGCCTAACATGCATGTTTTTGGTCTGTGAGAGGAAACTGGAGTACATGGAGAAAACCCACGCATGCACGGAGCGAACATGCAAGCTCCACCCAGAAAGGCCCCCAGCCAGGATTTGAACCTGCAACCTTCTTGCTGAAAGGCAACAGCTCTACCAACTGAGCCACCGTGCTTTTCAAGTCTGAAATTCTTAATTCAGTATGAGCAAAGTGATCATAGATGATAACCACACAGCTGATAAATGTCAATGAAGATGAAGATTCCTTGAAGCAGCTTAAAGTCGAGCTGATTTTATTCATTCGTCTCTCTGAACAGACGAGGACGTGAAGTTTAAGATAATTCACCCACGATGGAAAGAACTTGTTTAACTTGGATAAATTAGTCACACTGCAGGTTAAAGATTCTCCCAAAGCTCCGTTTTCTTTAATAATGTTAACAATTTTCTCTCAGTCTATAAAAATTTTAGTCTGCAATCAAAGTTTACTGTCGACAAGAGATGCAGAAAATCTAATAATGGATTTATTTTTTTTAGCTGTTCCAAGACACAAAGACACAGCGAGCATGCATACAATAATCCATATTTTATCTTCTCAAAAGTAACTAGAAACAAAACTTTTAAAAATCTGATTTGCTCTCCAAAAACTCTGTTTGTATAGAATGTGCAAACTGCAGGAAATTTAAAAAAATATTTGGAGAAGTGTGGACAAAACCTGAAGCGATCATTGAAACAAATCGTGCGAGACTGGAGCAGAATGTACCGAGAAACCAAAATAATGATCACACGTAATCAGGGATTCTCAATCCTTTCTTTTATCAAACAGGCGTTTTACTGATGCTACTTGTTTATGACTATTTATTTTTGCCAGTTTGACAACAAAAGTGAATATCTGAGGCAGTAACTCATAAGATTCAACGTGCTCTCTTCTTGAATAATACTACTTAATTGATTAAGTTGTATTTGTGCAGGTAATGTTGTCTTGTCTGTTATTTAATCTTTTTCACCAATACAAAAAAAGGGACAACTAAAACTAATCATAGATCAAACAGCCTGAGAGGAAAGGAAACATTTTGAATTCAACACCATAAATGGAAATACTAGACACCGAGGATAAGACTCGATGCTAACTTTGTCTGGCATAAATTAATTCAAGCAAAGACACAAAAGAAAAAATATATATTTAATTTAACTATTTAGGCCATTATTGTTTTGTTAAAGTGAAATCAAACAAATAAGTTAGATTTTTACTTGGTTCTTTGAAAAACCTAATAGTGCTAATGCCAAGAAGAAGCTTATCGAACTCACGAAGTCTTGTTGTTTTGATCCATACATTTTAATTTCTATTACAAATGATGCGGTAGTGCTTTATTTTAAAGCTGTTCGTCAGTTTCCTGCACCTGATGAGGCCAAAAAGTTTGAAAAACACTGAAAATGACATGAACATGGCCAGCTGGCTCCATGTGTGGACGATGAAAACAATAGAAATGCAAAGTAACACAAAAATGCAAACCAGAATCTGTTGCATTTTGGGGTGAGGTTCTCAAACAGCACAACATGGAAAACCTGAGCCACCTCTGCTCTCACTTTGACTGATACAAACCCTGAGATGTGTTCAATCCTACACAAGCTCTCACACACAGACACACAAGACATTACACTCGACCTGCCTGCCTTAGTCCTCATGTATTGTCTTTATTAGGGGATACTGTTAGCCGGGCAGATTTTCCAGCCCCTTGCAGGCGAATTGTCTAACGATGCAGACCATTTCCAGCAAAGCCTTGGCCCCATGCCACTCAAATCAAGACCACATTTCTGCAGCAGTCTAAACTGTCTGTGTCTGCCATCGAAAGGGAAGCTCAGTCTGTTACGGCGAGATTGGATCTCAGAGCACTTCAAAGCTGTGTGGGCTGCAGCGCTCACATCCTGTCTGTGACTGACATCACTACAAGGGGAACCATTTCAAACCCCAGGTATTAGGTAGCAGCGCAAGAGCATTTCTCTCAAATCCTTTAGCCACAGCTGAGGGCAGGACACCCAGAGCAGTAACCACCTGCTGCCTTTTTCTTAAGTCCTTCAAAGAGACGAGACAGATTCAGTTTTTATCAACACAAAGCACCTTCATAGTACTTTTCGTCAAGATCCGCAGTCTGACAAGGTATCAGCCATCAGCAATTTTCTACTCCATCAAGGTTTGTTAGGTTCGTCTCACGAGAAAGCGCTAAATGTTCTTCCGCAAATATTTGTTGGTAATAATTCGGTGCGGGTGGGGGGGACATTATCGATGTTTTATAAATGGAAAGAGCCAAGCACTAATTCATCATTATTACAAATATTAAGTGGCCTGTTCTTGTTGCACACAGCTGTGGCAGCACCATTGAGCCACGCAGCCCCTGTAACTTAGCAACAGCCTCACAATAACAAGACCACTTCATTTCTAGGTATGTCGGAGCAGAGAGCACTGTTCCTGCATGTGGGCCATGAAAGCTTCGGACTAAAGTCATTTTATTATAGCTGACATGACCAGCGTAAAGTAAAAGAAAAGCAATGTGTTTGTACAATGGCATCTTTGTGAACAGTGTGCTTTATTTCTGCATCATGTGTCCCTAAAAAAGCACCGGACAACAGTGTTGGACTTCTGCAAGAAGAAATCTGCTGCTTTCCCAAAAAAAATACAGCTGCACTGAGCTCAAGATTATATTTGATTTAATAGACCGTATTATTTTACATTATTAGTGTTTAGTGTTTAGTGTTTATCTTAGATCATTAACATATTGTTTAGCATTCATTTAGAGCATATCTTAGATCCTTGTATATTGTGTCTTTTTATACTTTAAATTTTGTTATTTTGGGGGGGACCTTGAGTACATAATTTCGTTCCACCTCATGTATCACATGTGATGCCAATGACAGTAAAGATACTTGAACTTGAAGATTTCACAGATACGCAAGAGTTAGAAACATGTGTTTTTAGGTAAATGATGTTGTAATAAAGCTTCTTTTTTTCTGAATAAGCATTGTGTTTACAGAAGAAGGACCTTATTCAACACGGTGGAGGTAGTATAGTGGTTTGTGCTTGTTTCATTGCACAACTGGCTGGAAGGATAAATTAGTATTCAAGTTTGTTTTAGGCAGCAAGGTGGCGCAACTGGTAGAGCTGCTGCCTCTCAGCAAGCAGGTCCTTGGTTCAAACCCCAGTCCAGGGGCCTTTCTGGGTGGAGTTTGCATGTTCTCTCCGTGCATGCGTGGGTTTTCTCCGGGTGCTCCGGTTTCCTCCCACAGACCAAAAACATGCATGTTAGGCTGATTGGTAACTCTAAATTGTCCCTAGGTGTGAGTGAGAGAGTGAATGGTTGTTTGTCTCGTTTGTCTCTATGTGGCCCTGTGATGGACTTGCGACCCGTCCAGGGTGTACCCCGCCCCTCGCACAGTGATTGCTGGACATGGGCACCAGCGACCCCCGTGACCCAAAATGGAAACGGGTAAAGATAATGGATGGATGGAAGTTTGTTTTATTATTTCATTTCAGATCAGAATCAGAATGTTTTAATTATCATTGCACAGTGAAGTACAACAAAATGACTTTCCGTACAGCCGGCCTAAACATGGACAGAAGTATACAGGGGGCTGCAGCTTTTAAGATGTGCTGCCCCTATTGCTTAATGTACCACATTAAATAAAGTAAGTAATTAAGAAAATATTGTACCATATACGTTTAAACAAAACCGTGCATTTATTGTCCAGAGTGACTTCAGATTTAGCGGCCATGTGTCCTGAGGAACGAAGCTGACACATTCTAGATGTCCTAGGTTAGGTGGAGCATTCATTTCTTCCAGATGCCAGGAGAACAAACAGCACACAGGAGTGGAGCAGCACTCGGCACAACTCGTAATGCCCAGAAAAACACAGATCTGCTGCTTTGAGAAAGTTCAGATGACTCATTGGTCCTGACATAATTCACACTGGCCATAATCCCCATGGTTATGGTATTACTCCAGCTGAGACAAAGTTTGGTTGAGTTTCTTACATTTCCTCAAAACATCTATCACTGTCTCACTGTTTAATTCAGAGATGTCTCGCAGGTCCAGGACTCTCAAGTTATGAAGCAGAGCTTCTGCCACGCTGTCTGCTCGGAAGGATGTTAGCCCATCCAACTGGATTGTGAAGTTAGAAACATTGCTCTGGAGCCAAGTTTCAGTCAAAAAAAGAAACAAAGTCTCTAACTTTGTGCTGCGTGTGCAACTGCAAATAATCGATTTTACCTATCATATAATGGACTTTGGCAAGAAAAGCCAGTTATTTATTTTGGTTGTGTTCAAGTTATGCCTGGATAAAGTTTTTTTTTAAATACATTTCTGTATCATAGCACACTGAATTTTGCACCAGTTCACTGAATTACTCTTTAGCACCTCAAACACGTAGCTCCTCCTTTATAACTGGAAGTCTACAATCTTCCAAAAACTTTTTGTATGTAAACAAAATGCTGGTCGCTGTATTTATTGCATGAGTGCTGCCAATTTCAACTACATTGTATAAAGGCATACTTCTAAAGGAAAATGCCAGGATCTGTTGTAGGCTAAATATAATCAAAAAGTTTGTGATGCAACAAACCGTAGCCTTAGGCATACAAGTCAGTCCACCACATAAAGGTTAAAGCAGAATAAGGTTAATGTTTTGGAATGACTGACCCAATGTCCTGACCTTAGCTCAGCTGAACTGTTGTGATAGGACCAGAAGTTCAAAAGTTCATGTGAGGAAACCAACATCTCAGGTTTAAAGCTGTTTGTCACAGACGAATGAGCTCAAATTCCTTCAAGCTGATGTCCAGAACTGATCAACAGTTGCAGGAAACATTTAAATGTAGTAATTGCTGCATAGTGCAGTCAAACTAGATGTTTAAAATGATATGGTTTGTATTCAAACATACAGTTCAGTAATATTAAATCATTTTGTACATTAAATCAGCTGTTCAGCATCACATTTTGGTTTTATTCATTTATCCAAATAATGCCAAAACTCTTATGATTGTAAAAGTGATGGATTTAAAAACTTAACATTTATTATCTGTAGGTTTTTGTATAAATAAGTTAATTAGGACTGAACATTTTACCACACTCACATGGGGCTTGTATTGACAAGCCATCCTCTGTGTGACAAATTTGCGCTGGGTGACAACACCACAAAGGTAACTTAAAGCTCTGTGAATAAGTCGAGGCATGTGTGAGATGGAGAGTGAGATAATTTGTAACAGTGCTCAAGATGAAACAGCACAGCATGTTGTGTTTGTGCAGGAAAAAAGTGATTCTTCATTTGTTTGTCAGAAAGAATGGCACGAGAGGATGAAGGGAAGCTGAGAGACATAAAGAAGTAGGAACAGACGAGACAGATAAGATTTAAAGTTTCCCATGAAACCCTCCTCCCAAGAGCAGCAACTCCATCTGTGCAATCACCCCCAGCCGGCGTGGACTCTGCTGGCCCCAGTCACCTCCCCAAAAGACCCCACTGCATTCCTGTCCCAGCTGTGGCTCTTTTCCTCTTCATGGTTCTTCTCTTCTTTCTGCCTACTACCATGCTCCCCAAACACTCCTCTTAGCCCCCACAGTCACTCTCTCAGTCACTCACTAACTCAGGCCTGGGAGTGATTATCAGCCCATTGCCAAGAGGAGGAAAGAAGGAAAGGAAAGCAGGAAAAAGGGAGAATTGTCTGGAAAATAACTGCTCCCTTACCCCTTGTTCCGATTCCAGGGGCTCAGCTTTGACTCGGACTGCAGGCATTCCGTCAATCATTAACATCCTGTTTCTTAGGCTGCCTGTGAAGGAACACAGAGGAGGTGTAAGACGAGTGTTTTAGCATGACTAAGCAGGTCCCACACTCACTTATTCACACGTGGACATCAACAATGTTGTGCTTGTGCCCACTGAGAAATGAGCTTGTCTCAAAAAAAAAATCATCATAAGCAAACACAGATGCGCACAAATAGTGGAAACTCAGTCAGTGCACAGCAAGAGTCCTTCTTAATCATTTTTGATATCCTGATGTGCTGCTGTGAAGCTTACACTGATTACACTGATCCTCTCAAGACTTCAGTAGAATACAAACACATGCTCTGATATAGTACTTTGACACGACCGTTACAGGTTCCTCTCTGACCAACAGTATAAAGACAAATATAAATCTGAAGTGAAAATGTCAAAGTGTTGCGTGACCCATCACATAAAATTAGGGACCAAATCATATTTGCTCAAAATGAACTAATCATATTTTTAGATTCCTGGCTTTTTAAACTACATTGTGAAGCCCAGATTACCATGAGCACTTTGATACACACGGCTTGATTTGTCTTGAAAAACACTTTTTTGGTTTTGAGAAAACAAGCTGTGACATGTTTTTTAACTATTTTTTATATTTTAAAATGTGTTGGTCAAGACTGATCAAGCCATATGTCTGGAATTGCTTTTAGTGCCATGATAATGGAAATGGTGGAAGTGGTCTCCAGCTACAAATACTTGGGTGTACACCTGAATAACAACCTCAGCTGGGGTAACAACACCACCAGCCTGATCAAGAAAGATCATCAGAGTCTCTACTTCCTCAGGCGGCTGAGATGAGCTGGACTGGGAAGCTCAGTCCTCACCTCCTTCTACAGGTGTGCAGTGGAGAGCATCCTGTGCTCCAGCATCAACGTGTGGCATGGAGGCTGCACAGCTGCAGAAAGAAAAGCTTTGCAGAGAGTAGTGAAGGCTGCACAGAAGACTGTTGGAGTTAGTCTCCCCACCATCACAGACATCTACACCTCCAGATGCAGGAAGAGGGACACCTGCATCATGAAGGACTCCACTCACCCAGCACACACACTTTTTGCTCCACCCCACTCAGGCAGGAGGTTAAGGAGCATCAAGTGTAGAACCACTGGACTGAGGAACAGCTTCTACACTGAGGCTGTTAGACTCATGAATCTATAACCAGGATAATTACTGTAAGAAGAAAAAAGAATCACTGTAATACCACTTTAATTGGTGATATGTGACTTATCTGTTCTGCTGATTATCTCATGCTGCTGTATTCATTCATACCCATCTGCTCACCATAGATTCATGTTCGGGCTGCTGTTGTTACATTGTATTGTTTTACATTATAAGTGTTTAGCGTATATCTTAGATACCATTTGGTGTTCGTTTAGTATATATCTTAATGTATATTTAAGATTCTTACTTACTATTCTTTTTATACTTTGTATTTTGCAATTTTGGGGAGTAACTGGGACCCTGTGTAGATATTTTTTTTCCATCTCATGTACCACATGTTGGAAACGATAATAAAGTTGACTTGAACTTGATAATCTAGCTCTTAAAATATAGTTTGAAAAGACATTAATCTGAAACTACGGTTTGTTCATTTTTACCAAAACGTTCTAATTCCCGATTTGATGTGATATTTTGCATATTGTGCTTCCTCTTACATATATAGAGCACAAGTTTTAGCTTTGGCCACAAGTTCCTGCCAGGACCTTTCAGCTGTACTCTGTAATATTAATACCACAGCAGGACACACACAAACACACGTTTTGCAAATAATTTAATTCCATTTGACTCTGTCAATAAAATGGGCAGCATCGCCCGACTCCTTAGCTCCATGCTGTGACTTTAAGAGGGATTCTCTGATGGAGCCAATGACAACAATGCATGTTCCATATCGCTCAGCTGGAGTCGACCTAAGGTAACCCCCTTTTATTATTTTAGCAGCGCTACATGAAGGAATGCAAGCCAGACAAACAAACCTTAAACATCTCTATTACTCTTCACTGATGGCATCACTGGCTGGGTTTACAGCCAGATCATTGCAGTCAGAGGCACACAGGCAACGGGGACACTTGTTAAACTGAGAAAACATAAACCAGAGATGAATTGCTACTTTTATATTGTTGTCGTTAATGCCTAATTAGACCGTGCTTTTTTAATTTCTAGGTAAAGAAAAAATCCCCTTGGATCAACTATTACAAATTAGAACAAAACATGTAAGGCAACAAATCGCTCTTGCTTAAACTGAACTGAAGGCAAATCCCGTGTGTGCATGAGGGGAGGTGTAGAGAAATAGGGAGGATTTACTCCCTCAATCTACAGCAACACCCCCACCCCTTCAGATCTCGCCTCTCAGGTCTGTCCCTCAGGTACCCTGGCTGTGCTGCTATTGTATTGTTGTCCAGGATGTCCTTCGGCTTCAGGTCTTGGTAGGCCCAGATAGCGTTACCATAGTAACAGTTGGCGGGTGGAGCTGCAGCCTCAGTCCAGCCTCAAGCCATTTGTTGAGGAGAAAAAGCAAGCGAGTGCACTGAGACAGGCAGAAAGTAACGTTTGTTTTCTGCTGGATGGTTGTTTATTCTGACCGTCGTTTCGCTCAATGGTGGAAAAAAATTATAATTATTTTATTAAAGACGCATTACTGTATATAAAATCTTGTTTTTCTCTTGTCAAGTCAAGTCACATTTATTTATATAGCACATTTAAAACAGTAACTGTTATCAAAGTGCTTACCAAAAAAGATCTTGTGACAAAACTTGTCAAAAACGTATCTTCTATATGTGAAAATCTTGACTTTTTCTGTGTCTATCTCCACCAAGTCACAAGTGCTCATTTCTTGAAAGCAACAACCTTTGCATTTGTGCCTGAAGTCCAGTTAATCCAGTGGTTCCTAATGAACTGGCCTGCAGAGGCCCATTCACAGGAAATCAATGGCAGTTGCATAGCTCTGCTTGTGACTGCAATGACCAAAGAGCTAACTGCAGTGAGGGAAACCTAACACTGTGTAATGAGCTAATGGGGGAGCGCTGCATGTTGAGGAGGTTGAAGTCAACTGACGAAATCATGTCTACCAGCTGAATGACACAAATCACAAAGATTAGAAATAAAAACAAAGATTGTGTTTGGCTATCACTACATTTGGTCTGTTGGTGGCTCAGGCACCCAGCGGTGTGCTGTCCCTCAATGGGGTGAGGCACAAAGTGTGGGAGACAGAGAGAGGGAGGGCGGTGTCTGGAAGGAAGCAGGGACGATTAAGATCACCTTTCCATTTGCTGCACTCTGAAATGAAATGGCCATCCCAGGTGTGTGTGTGTGGGGGGGGGGGGGGGGAGCCAGTGGGGAGAGGAGGGCAATGAAGTGTTGAAGCATCTCATTTCTCCCTCCAACAAGCCTCCCTCTTCCCCTCCCCTCAAAAGTACTGTGGGCGGTGGAGTTCAAGGAAGCAGGTGAGGCTCGATGCCAGAGTTAGCTGCAGAAATGATCCGTACACAGATTTGCATTTCAAATGCATGACGTAAAACTTTCACAACGAGTTCACAACTCTCAGTTTGTTCAGGATTTTTTTCCTGAGTTTGGTGGGAAAATAAATACTGGTAACAGGCCAGATGGTAATAAATATTTCAAAATTAAAGTGATGTGTAGTTGCACCTGCTAAAACAAAAATCACTACTAGCAAACCTACTGTGATGTTACTTGTTTGTGCAGGTACCACACCCTTTAAGGTACTTAAATAAATAGTGGCAATTTGTTCATTTGAATGTTGCTGTTGAAACATTTGCACACTCAATACAGGTGTTAATGAGATGCTTCTGATTTTTTTAATTGGGTTCTGTGAGCAGAATTGTTGGAAAGAGCAAATTCTTATCTTACATGTTTTGCAGCCTTTATTTAAACAAAGATGACACAGTTTAATAGTGAAGGACAGACGACAGTCCAAACAGGGCAAAGACCAAAATGGATTGTTGCAATCAACTTTAATCTTCTTATTTTCTTAGTGGTTTACTTAAACATAATTATTAAGCAATTACACTGCTGATTTTTTTTGCATTATGTTGCTATAAATAATATTTGATATTCCTGTTAAAGTGCCCCAATCTGCACCTAACATGCTCCAGTTACCTGCTGCAGCCGCTATTTGTATGTATGTATGTTTTATTTATTCATTTCATTTCAACCAAACAACAAATAATACAATTTAAAGAAAAGAAAAAAGATATACAATCACAGAAATAAAATGAAAGGCAGCAGAAGAAGAATGAGTTCTTATAATATCTGCCCCTTGTCCCCAAAATATATTCCAAACAAAATTACTATACAAAAGCAAGATGAATTAATAAAAAAATAAAAAATAATAAAATTAAAATTTAGCTAAAATATAAGATCAACTGTAAACAATTTTTATGAACTCACATTATACTTAATATTTAAAAAAAAAAAAAAAAAATTTATCATCTTCTTGAATATGTACATAGTTTTGGCATTTTTAATATCAACCTCCAGATCATTCCACAATCTAATACCCTGAGATATAGTGGATCGCATCTTCAGACTGGTGCGACACCACGGCTTCACAAACATCTCCATCCCCTTAAGATAATAATTACTTTCTCTTTTAACAAATTTCCCTTGAATGTTAGTAGGTAGTATGTTTTTGTTGGCCCCATACATAAACAGTAAGATATTGTAATCAACCAAGTCATAAAATTTTAATATCTTTAGCTGATGAAACAATATATTTGACGGATGGTTATAATCTTTTCTGGTAATAATTCTTATGGCTCTTTTCTGTAAAATAAAAATTGGATTTGTAATTGTTTTACATGCTTTACCCCAGACTTCAATACAGTAAATTAAATGTGGAACAATAATGGCATTATACAATAGAAACATTGCTTTATCATTGAATAACTCTCTAACTTTGTACATTACTGCAATCGATTTAGCTATTTTAGTTCTTAAGTTTTTTACGTGTGATCTCCATGTTAGTTTTTCATCAATGATGACACCCAGA